TCAAGGTCGAGCCAACATCTTGAACCAACTTTATATTGACGTCAAATACTGACATTTATTCGTCAAATATTGCAACCAAAATTCAACGTTTTATAGACGTCATAGTGGTAATGTCCACACAACATCAAGCTGTAACATGATTAGGTGTTGATATTTGGTTGCTTTTAGGTTGTGTTGGAAAGTGACCAAAATTCAAGGTCGAACCAACATCTTGAACCAACTTTATATTGACGTCAAATACTGACATTTATTCGTCAAATATTGCAACCAAAATTCAACGTTTTATAGACGTCATAGTGGTAATGTCCACACAACATCAAGCTGTAACATCATTAGGTGTTGATATTTGGTTGTTTTTAGGTTGTGTTGGAAAGTGACCAAAATTCAAGGTCGAGCCAACATGTTGAACCAACTTTATATTGACGTCAAATACTGACATTTATTTGTCAAATATTGCAACCAAAATTCAACGTTTTATAGACGTCATAGTGGTAATGTCCACACAACATCAAGCTGTAACATCATTAGGTGTTGATATTTGGTTGTTTTTAGGTTGTGTTGGAAAGTGACCAAAATTCAAGGTCGAACCAACATGTTGAACCAACTTTATATTGACGTCAAATACTGATATTTATTTGTCAAATATTGCAACCAAAATTCAACATTTTATAAACGTCATAGTGGTAATGTCCACCTAACATCAAGCTGTAACATGATTAGGTGTTGATATTTGGTTGCTTTTAGGTTGTGTTGGAAAGTGACCAAAATTCAAGGTCGAACCAACATCTTGAACCAACTTTATATTGACGTCAAATACTGACATTTATTCGTCAAATATTGCAACCAAAATTCAACGTTTTATAGACGTCATAGTGGTAATGTCCACACAACATCAAGCTGTAACATGATTAGGTGTTGATATTTGGTTGCTTTTAGGTTGTGTTGGAAAGTGACCAAAATTCAAGGTCGAGCCAACATGTTGAACCAACTTTATATTGACGTCAAATACTGATATTTATTTGTCAAATATTGCAACCAAAATTCAATGTTTTATAGACGTCATAGTGGTAATGTCCACACAACATCAAGCTGTGACATCATTAGGTGTTGATATTTGGTTGTTTTTAGGTTGTGTTGGAAAGTGACCAAAATTCAAGGTCGAGCCAACATCCTGAACCAACTTTATATTGACATAAAATACTGACATTTATTCGTCAAATATTGCAACCAAAATTCAACGTTTTATAGACGTCATAGTGGTAATGTCCACATAACATCAAGCTGTAACATCATTAGGTGTTGATATTTGGTTGTTTTTAGGTTGTGTTGGAAAGTGACCAAAATTCAAGGTCGAACCAACATCTTGAACCAACTTTATATTGACGTCAAATACTGACATTTATTCGTCAAATATTGCAACCAAAATTCAACGTTTTATAGACGTCATAGTGATAATGCCACACAACATCAAGCTGTAACATCATTAGGTGTTGATATTTGGTTGCTTTTAGGTTGTGTTGGAAAGTGACCAAAATTCAAGGTCAAACCAACATCTTGAACCAACTTTATATTGACGTCAAATACTGACATTTATTCGTCAGGTATGGCAACAAAAATCCAACATCTGATAGACGTCATAGTGATAATGCCACACAACATCAAGCTGAAACATCATATTTGGTTGTTTTTAGGTTGCGTTGAAAAGTGACCAAAATACAACTTCTGTCCATCGTTGGACACTGATGTCGGTCTGAAGTTGGGTTCTGACGTCAATCCAATTTTCATTTCCACCAAAAATGCAACATCCCACGACGCTGGGGTACAACGTCAATCTGACGTCATGTTGTAGTCCTGTGCCTGCTGGGATTGTTAATGTTATTGTTTTAATCTTCGTTCAGTTATTTTAATATTTGAAAACTTAATAACCCGCTTTAAAAATTCTTGATTGCTAGGGAGTGAGTGGTCGGTAAGAATTTTTATTGTAAAATAGGGGTTTCCTGAAACAAAGAAAGGTTGGGAACCGCTTCTATTGACCTACTTGCTTTACAAACAAATGTTTGCATGACTTTACAGACCAAGTAGAACAATATAATAAGAAAACATGGGTTAGCAACATCAAACACCAAAACAAGCAGTTTTTAATGACTAAAAATGAATGGAAGTGAGAAGTCTCGAGCCAAAAAGATTCAAATGGCTGCTCCCGCTCGTCGGCGAAGAATAAGGTAAATAGGCCTTAAAGAAAAATAATAATTGAAAGCACATGCTATTGTAATATACTGAGCCATAATTAAACTAACTTAGCTTCCATGGGCCTCAGAGTTTACAGCATTTATGTTGGAATATTTTAATCTTAGCCATGGGAACTTCTGTACTCAGTAAATGGAAAACAACAAGCACTTAATGATTATGGAAAGCTATTTTATTAGTGTACGATTATGTGCATCTGTTTCTTGTAAATCGAATTCTCAAACAGTTTTGTTTGTGATTAGATTTAAGCATATCGATTCATTAACCCACACTGCAGTCATGTGTAACACTGACTATCGTGATAGTCAAAATATCCCACCACAGAGCACTCAACTCGTTGGTTTTGCAATGCATCCCATATGAGGAACCTTAAAGTGGCATCTGCAGAAGTTCAAATCCGTCTACCAGATGACTTTGAAGGAAACAGCTTTGAAGTTGTCATAATTAAAAGCAAAGCAGAGCAGAAATACAGATGCCGCTGAAGTCTGGAGGAAATGACTCCAGTGTTTGGGACAGTGGTTGCTTAATGGAAGCTGTTGCAGGAAATAAACATGCAACCCCAAAGACATCACTTGTTTTCTAGGATGAGATCAGCGAAACGTTTTTAAGCGATTGTAAACAACTGTGAAAAGTAAATATAGGGGTGTGGTGGTACACAAAAACCACAGGTTTACCTCAGTTTTTGCTTCAAGGTTTGATGTTTTGTGCGTTCAGAGATGCTTTTCTGCCGCCCTCTGTTAAATTAAGTGGCTATATGAGTTGCTGTTGCCTTTCTATACCCTTTAAACTCTGGCCTCAGCAAGGCATTTTCACACACAGAACTGGTGTTTAATAGATACTTTTATTTTCCAAATCATTCGCTATATGTCCCTGAGAAGTTTGAGCATGAAAAAGCCTGCAAGATCGGCAGTTTGTAAAACATTCAGAGCAGCCTATCTGGCGCAAACAACCTTGCAATGTTCAATGTCATTCAAATCTCATTTCTACCCTATTCTAATGCTTAATTTGACCCTCTCTACATATCTGAATGCATTGAGCTGCTACCATATAAACAGACTGCATGCTACACTCTCAGAAATAAAGGTACGCGAGTTGTCACTGGGGTGGTACCTTTTCAAAAGATACACATTTGTACCTAAAACGTCCATATTAATTGCTCAAGTTTACATATTAGTACCTTAAAAGTAAAAAGGTGTTCCTCTTAAAATTTTTAGGTACTAATATATGCTTTTGAGGTACCAATATGGACCCTATAAGTACAAATGTGTACCTTTTGAAAAGGTACCACCCCAGTGACAACTCATGTACCTTTATTTCTGAGAATGTATGTTATGGATAAAGTAGGATGTTATCCAGGAGGTTGTTATCACAGAATAAAGCCTGACAGGTTTAACAGCAGTTGTGTGTAATACTGAAGGGATTTGTTCTGCAAAAACAACTGTCCTGGATGTACTTTATCCCGCTTATCACATGGCTACTTGCCACAAAACGTAAAAATTAGACAAAACTTTGTTCTTAACTGTAATAGTTTATCAATCTTTAAATTAGACTAAATTAAACCCAGGCTCATTCTGAAAACGTACCTCTATATACATTTCTGGAGACCACCAAATACGGCCGCTGTGCACCTGCTGTTCTCACGTAAATCCACCAGAGGCTGTTGTTGACTGACTGTTTGACTGACTGACTGACCGATTGACTGACCCATCCTCCTCCTTCCTTAAACCCAACTAATATTCAATCATTCATTTTCTTGTTGGCTTTGTCCCTTTATTAATCCGGGGTCGCCACAGCGGAATGAACCGCCAACTTATCCAGCCAGTTTTTATGCAGCGGATGCCCCTCCAGCCGCAACCCATCTCTGGGAAACATCCACACACACATTCACACTCACACTCCTACACTACATACAATTTAGCCTACCCAATTCACCTGTACCGCATGTCTTTGGACCGTGGGGGAAACCGGAGCACCCGGAGTAAACCCATGCCAAGGCTGGGAGAACATGCAGACTCCACACAGAAACGCCAACTAAGCTGAGGTTCGAACCAGCGACCTTCTTGCTGTGAGGCGACAGCACTACCTACTGCGCCACTGCCTCGCCCACACCCAACTAATAGTGTTTTTTTAAAGCACAAAGTGACCCGCAAACTTACTTCCCTTAACCCTATAGAAACTTTTAAATACAATCCAGAAAAAGAAAAGCCCTTGCTGGATTTTTACCATGTTTTCAGATTTTACCGCATTCTCACTCTGTTATTTACTTGTTTTTTAAATTTTTTGGATTTTGTTTTTGTCTTACCGGCTTTCACCAGACTCAAACCGGGTCATCGTGGTTAACTCCTCTCTGCGTCTCAAGTCCATTTACGTACATGGCAGGCTAATGGGACAAACTGGTAACAGCGGAAAAATTCGTCCATACTGAGGTATGAAAAGCAACGACATTTTACCGCCTCGTATCGTTTGTTTTAAGGATGAAATGCGGCCATACATACCTCTGGCTACATAATTTGATCTCCAGAAATGTATATAGGGCTTTTCATAATGAGCCTACATTGATTTAATCCAGTATTGAGGGTAGTTTAATTGTGATTGGTTTAAAGAACATGCACTTAAATATCAGTTTTAATTTCACTTTGTAATATTTCACACACAGAGCAGTTCTTAATTTGTCAGTTAGGCGCATCTTCTTAATGAATACATTTCCACTTACTGAACAGTAAAATATATAACCATCAAAAACATCACTGTACCTGTGAATGGTATCCTCTAGCCTTTTGATGTGAAGTTCATCTTGCTCAACCTGTTTCCTGCGGTCTTCGTCTTCCTCTTGTAGCGCCGCTGGTGTCCCCTGAAGAAGCCATCTCTCCCTCATGGCTTTAGACTGTAAGGCGGAAACATTTTCTACCATGAGGTCATTGATCAACATCAGCTGGGACTTATTTAAAGTGCACTCAGATTAATAATTGTCCACACATTACTGCTTACAAGGGTAGATCCAATGATAATCTATGGCCCAATCCCAATTCTACCCCTTGAGTCTGGTTTATACTCAATGTGTCTGCTAGTTTGGTTGAGTGTGGGCGGCAAATGTGATGTTTTTTTTTTTTTTGGGACTCGAGCGAAGTGCGCAAACACGAGCGAAATAGAACACTTTAAAGAGATTTAGTCTGAAACAGGTACGACTGTACAAACATCTTAATGATCCATGATCATAGAGATAACCAGATAATCAATATTTATTGGCTAGAAATTGTAACAGCTGTGGGAAAGGAGAAAAGTTTTTGTTAAATATTATTAGTTAAAAAATATTAAATGATATTAATGATATGACGTAGTTCATTCTCACCCTGTTAATTACTTGTTTATTTTATTTGTTGGCTTTTGTTTTTGTCTTAACTGCTTTCTGGAATGATTCTCCACCGGACTCGAACGGCGTCGTTGCCGCATCACAAGTCCGTGGTGAGCCACTGGACTAACTGGTAACAGCTCCGCATGGAGATAAGCGGTCAGCTGGTAGCTTGAAAAGTAACAGCATCATCCTGCACCCTAGCGTTCACTTTAAAGCTGAGTTACGTATGGTCCATACGTACCTCTGACTGCATAATTCCCAATGTCCAGAAATATATATGTATATAGGGCTACAATTTCAGAATGAGCCTATGTTGATTTCAACCTGTATTTAGGTTAGTTTAATAGTGAATAATTTGAAGAACAGACCTTAAATATCAAGTTCAAATGGACTTTGTAATATTTCACACAGAGAGCAGTTCTGCATTTGTCAGTTAGGCACGTGTTAACACTATTAACTGCTATAGCTGGAAATTTACTAAACATTTTCATGGAACTTGATCTTTGCTCAATATTTTAAGAATTTTTTGACAATAAAGTCATTTTGACCCTTGCAATTTATTTTTTGGCTCTTGCCAAAACTATCCCCATGCAACAAAGACTGGCTTTCTTCTCTACAGTAACAAATTATACATTTTGTTAGTCAGTTTTGTACCAATCCCTACAATAATCCAAAGCAAATGGAAAAATACTATTGGCATTTTGTTATGTATACTAGGGTTGTGGCAGCTTTTGAACTGGGCCACAAAAATTCTACAAACATATGCTATGATGGCCGCATGGTTTCTTATTGGTTAGCACTGTTGTCTAACAGCAAGAAGGTCACTGGTTTAAATCCCGTCTAAACCAGTTGGCATTTCTGTGTGGAGTTCGCATGTTCTCCCCTTCTTGGTGTGGGTTTCCTCCGGGGGCACCGGTTTCCCCCACAGTCCAAAAAGATAAATAGGTGAATATATAGTGGAATTGGATAAACTAAATTGGCCATAGGGTGTGAACGTGAGAGTGTACGGGTGTATTCCAGAACTGGGTTGTGGCTAGAAGGGGATCAGCTGCGTAAAAATATGCCAGAATAGTTAGCGGTTCATTCCGATGTGGGAACTGCTGATAAATAAGGGACTAAAGCCTCCTTTCCACTGCACGCATCATCTCAGTATGCGGAAAATTCGGATCAGAATTGAGCTGCCGATCCGTTGAAATATTTGAACTCCTGCGACTAGCCGACCGGATGTGATATATTCCAGTGTTGTTCAAGTAGGTCATATTAGGTTATATTTGAATCAAAACATGTCTATATATATATATATATATATATATATATATATATATATATATATATATATATATATATATATAAATATATATAGGCTTGTTTTGATTCATATATATATATATAACATTTAAATATATAAATGTAAGTAATAAAGTAATTAAAATTTAATTTTTTAAGTTGTCTCCACATTCCTTCCAATATTTTTAGCGGTCTGAGTTTCTAGTATTTATTCATTCATTCAACCACGAAGAATTGTTTTTGCACTGCTTTATTTCGGACACTTTCAGAACAGCTTCTCTCCCATGGTGCACGTCAGAACAGAAAATTCTGTGCGACTGCCACAAGGGGGCGTCGTGTCCAAGTCGTGACCAAATGTCGTGTGCAGTGGAAAATGGCTTAAGTCGAAGGAAAATGAATGAATATGCCAATTTGTAATGCATGCAGAGGTAATACAGTTTTTGTTTCACAAATTTGTAGGCTGAAACCAGAAGCATACATGTTCAGTTTTTGTGAAAATATTACATAAAACTGGTGATAGCAACTGTATCTGAAATCTCCATCTTCATCTTTGCGAAACTCCTCAAGACAAAACCTGACACTCACAAATTTGAGGTCAGTTCAGATATAGAACATAGTCAATCTGTATTTCACTGTAAACTGTATTTAGGACGGACATGAGCAGTCTGCTGCAGGGTGAATATAGTCTAAAAGTACCAGCTGAAGCAGCTTTTAGTTTATACTTTACTCAGCAGCTCATCATTGTGTGGACTGTGGTCTGCCGCAGAAAGTCCTTTTTATATGTACATTGTTTGACGTTTGAGTTCAGAATATAAACGTGTTGCCACAGTCTTATGTAAACTCCAATGTACTTAAAACACGAAAAAGCTGTAAAGGAAGTAAGCAGTTGTGGTTGAACGGACTCTAGATATGTGAGCTATGGGGTCCCTCAAGACCCTTTACACACAGTCATCACCTCCATGAAGGTCAACCGCAGGAACTCAGGAACGCTTATGACTCTTTCACGAGCTGGTATGAAGGTATGCAGTGTTAGATTTCAGGACTGCCCATATATTTGGCTTTAAAAGACTCAAGGCAGCATTTCTAAAAGAGTTTTTCAAGCACCTACTGCACACCCAAAGGTTCTTTATTTCCCCTAATGCTTTTTTTAAACACATTTATCATCCATTGAGACTTTGGATTCGACCAGCGGTTTTTTGGATAATTTAAATGTTCTTCACATTTAGAGAAAATGGTTCTTTTAGGAAGTATTCCCTGTGTAACGGAGGCCAGCTAGTTAAGTGCTGTGCAGGTAAATCTCACTCCTCTGACCTCTAAAGGTGCTTTAGCGACAGGCGCTGGAGGCCATGGTCTTTTGCCTCCTTGGTAGAGCAACCGACTCCCATGCGGAAGGTTGCCGGTTCGATACCACCTCGGAGAGGGTTGGGTGGCGTAGGACTGGTGGGGTTACATTGGTGCCGTGACCCGGATGGGAGTGAGATTTAGGGGGGTGAGTGTAACGGAGGCCAGCTTAGGGTTGTAACGGTATGAATTTTTTACGGTATGATAATCGTCTAAAACAATACCACGGTTTGACGGTTTCGCGGTATACGGTATGTTACAAAATAATAGAACAGTGAAACAAATTTGACTTTTTCCAAATAATATATTTTCAGTTACTATAAACAACACCACTTACAATGAACAAATAAAAAATAAGAAAATAATAAATAATGTGTCAAAGTCCAAATAAAGTCCAAATAAACATGGTGCAAATCCTCAGTAAAAAAATAGATATAAATATTTACTATACTATAAATAGTTACATAACGAAACTAGATTCAATATGGAAAATCCTTAAGTTTTATGTGCCAGCATGGATATGGTTGTCTGTGGATATGGATTTGGATATGGTTGTATGCAATGCAGACAAACAGCTGAACCTTCATTTGCGTCTTTTGAAAACAGCAAGAGCAGCAGTTCGTCTTTGCTGTGTCACTGTTTTGTCATGTTTCTGTGCTGCTGTGCATGCAAAAGTACTTAGTATGAGAATTATTTCATGCAAAACCTTTTTTTTTGCGTTTTATTTAGCCGCGCATAAATGTATGCCTATCTCTCATTCCGTGTTGTTCAAAAAGCTCATTGTTGGTCCACAAACCAAAGCAAAACCTATGCTTATTGGTTGTGATATAGCGAGTTTGAACCAATCTGGGCATGGAGGAGGGACAATGCATCAATGTATCATGTCTGGTTTGTCCGGAGACACAGTGACGAGCGTTTCTTTGTCAAATCAGCGTTGTCAAATTTTGATGAGGTAACCACACTGATTCCGGAGCCTCTGAAAGTCCGAATGTTATGTGATACAGCACTGGAAAGCTGAGATTCTCTTCTTTATGCTCTTCTTTGAATTGTATGAATCGGATCAGCGGATCAAAAGTTATTAAACATTTAAGAGCAATACTTATTTTTAGCCGCGGACGGCTGTCTCGGTCTTTAAGAGTTAAAACCGTTGATATGCAATTGTTCATGGTATGATAATCGTGCACGTTCAAATCGTGGTAGACCGTCATACCGGTATATTGTTACAACCCTAGGCCAGCTAGTAAGTGCTGTGCAGGTAAAACCTCACTCCTCTGACCTTTAAAGGTGCTCTAGTGACAGACGCTAGAGGCCATGGTCTTTAGCCTCCTTGGTAGAGCAACTGACTCCCTTGCGGATCGATCCCAGCTCGGAGCAGGTTGGGCGGCGTAGAACCAGTGGGATTACACCTGTATATATTATTCATCACTTTAGAAACCTCAGTAAACTGTAGGAATTTGTGCACTGTAAAAAAAAATATGACAAATACTCCTTAGAGATTTTGCAGATTTGGTGGCTGCACATCCATGATGCGAATCTACCATTTCACCACATCCCAAAGGTGCTCTATTGAATTGAGATCTGGTGACTGTGGAAGCCATTTAAGTACAGTGAACTCACTGTCATGTTTAAGAAACCAGTCTGAGATGATTCGTGCTTTATGACATGGCGCATTATCCTGCTGGAAGTAGCCATCAGAAGATGGGTACACTGTGGTCATAAAGTTATGGACACGGTCAGCAGCAATACTCAGGTAGGCTGTGGTGTTGACACAATGCTCGATTGGCACTAATGAGCCCAAAGTGTGCCTACAAAATATCCCCCCCACCATTACACCACCACCACCAGGCTGAACTGTTGATACAAGGCAGGATGGACCCTTTATGTTGTTGATGCCAATTCTGACC